TGGGAAAGGCTGCTCCGGGTCTCTCTGGTGTGTTGTAGGGGACTCCCCAGCATAGCAGGCAGGGCTTTGCTCCTTTGCCCCGGGGGCGGGGTCCCCCGCCTCTGCGGCTTTGCTCCGGGGCAAAGGAGCAAAGACGCACGGGCAGCGGGGTCCCGCCACCTGTGCGGCTTTGCTCGGGTCTCCCTGCTGTGCTGGGGAGTCCCCCCCAGCACACGAGGGAGACCCGGAGCAGCTTTTCTCGCCCCAGAGGATGCGGTGGCAGGACCGCTGCGCTCTGGGCGGTCCCGCTGCCCACGAGCTCCGGGGCGAGAAAAGCCCCGTTCGTAAGTGCGGATCCGACGTAAGTCAGATCCGCGTAAGTCGGGGACTGCCTGTATATCCAGACCCTAAAGTGAAGTAGCCTGGAAAATTCCTTGGTGAAACAAGTCTTCCCTCCAGATCACAGAATAGCAGAACTGCTGCTATAATTTGTTATCTAAATAAATAGACTCATGCTAAATAAATGAACAATTGTTCACAAACTTTTCCTAGTCTGCTAGCAGTTCAAGGTCAAGCCTTAGGATGAAATCTTACTTCCATTGTAGTCAATGGGAATTTGTCATTGGCCTCCATGGGGTCAGGATTTCAGCCAGAGGCAGGGGCAAGCCCAGCAACTGAGGGCAATGATCTGTGGATCCACATAGTCATGAATGCACAAGCTTTGTGCCCTTACAGCCCTGTTTCAATCTCTTGTGCATGCTAGTGCATGAGTGTTGGAGGGGAACTATTTGTATGACATGGCCAAATCCTGTCTACCATGTCTGTGCAGTGGACCCATACTGGTTCAGCTGCATCTTAGAGTCCCTGCACCTTGTCTAGAAAAACACGAGATTTGTCTGGAAGTACATAATATGAAAGACAATTAGAAATATACAACTGCCAATATAATATGGTCTCTCTCTTTTTTGAATAAATGATAAAAATAGCAAAGAAACAACACTTCTTTCTATGACAGACTGGCATTTTTCCAGCAAACTTAAGTACTTTTTCTACTTTCAGGGCAAAAACGATGGGATGTGGTCCAAGATTAGTCATACAAACCTGAGAAATATGGAATAAGAGGCTGGGCTGAAGCAGCCAAAGTGGTACCACCAGCTGCAAGCCCATTAATTAATGCTCTGCGGTATGTAGCAGGAAGAATGACCCTGATACTTGCTGAATACAAGGAGATAACTTTTACAGAGCAGCTATGCTTTTCTTAAAGAGGTATATTTATCCAAGAAGAACTTTGCACATTTCCCCCCATCTCACAAGGCAGTAAATTAGTTCTAATTGCAGAGATATGTAATAAAAGCTGCACCCAGCCTTCTGCAGCAGTTAAAGGTTTATTTTATGGTTTTAGGTTTTCTTTGAGTGTCTAACTAAAAGAAGGAATTAAGAAAAAGAACTAGAGAAAAATGTAGGTTTTATGGATCTATAAAATCATGATGCTTTAGATAAATGTATCTTCCCGTGCAACTTACACAATATAACTTAACACTGAAGTTCCGTGGCTGGCAGTATGATGCACTGTATACACTATATTACATATCTCTTTTTCCATTTGCAGTTCTCTTTACTTAGACATAATGTACATTGTTATCTCCTCAATAAGGAAAATGTGTATTTACCCATAGCTGAAGACTATGTACTCTACTACTAGGTTTATTAATCAATGTGAAAAATAATAATCAATAGCAGATCCAGGGCCAAATTCTGTGTATACAGTTAACTGTTTTCAATATGTATTTTTTATAAAGACAATAAAAGTTAGATCATAATGTACTTTTCATCTGCTCACACAACTCCCTGTGAAGATCTCTATCTTACATTCTGGGTGCTTACAAAAGCTCCATCTCTATCAATAGCCCAGATACATTTTTGCCCAATGTTTCCTCTTCAAAGGTTTTCATGCTCACCACCTGTGAACTGAGTTTCTTGAATATATGTTATCTAAAGTTTTTTTTAATATGATTATTAATATTTGCAACCACTAAATTAACCAGTTATGACTGAACATTCATACCACAGTTGAGTCCTACAGAAGAAAACAAGGTAGACCACATACTAAGGCAACAGTTTCTCTGTTGCCTTATCCTTCCGAACCACCTGAATAAAAGCAAAACAAAGGGGCCAAAAGTAGCAACAGGAAATCCCACCTAAACCCCAATCCAGCAAAGCACTTAAGATGTGCGAGTAGTTCTATTGACTTCAAAGACTCTTCACATGATTAAAGTTAACAACACAATCAGGTGTTTGCTAGATCTGGACCCAGTATACCCTGAGGTAGATATATCTATACCAATATTCTGTGGTCTAGAATGAGCATTAGGCAAATGAGCAAACCAAAAGGGGAGAGTATGCCTATACTGCTTGCCCTAAGTAGCAACTCTTTGATACTAGGAAATGTTAAGTGGGAAAAATCAAGAATACAAATATATATTTAGCACAGCTCAGCAGTTTAATTATGGTTAAAGAAAGAACAGTGAACATGTGGGCAGCTTTCAAGCCTACCAGTCCAAAAGAAGGCAATACCAGCTTAAGCCAGTTCTTCAAATATAATGAAAAAAGTTCAGTCAATCAGTTCAAGATCATTCAGGAGAAAAAATTATCTTAGAAGACTTTGGACGGGTGAGTTTTGCTACAAATGCAGCTGTGTGATCTAACAAGCTGCAAAAAAGCAGTACTGGAATGGGCATTCTCAATCTTTTGGTGGCAAACTTCAGCCTACAGTGGGCTCTGTCAGATTGTACCTTGTTCCCTTTTCAGGACATCTTCAGGTTCCATAGAAGTCAATTATTACAGGCTTTTGTATCATTTTGTTTTTACTAGAAGGCAGATGTTGGAAATATTATTATAAAGCTGTATTTATTTAAGTCTTGCTTTTCTTTACACTGATTTATTTTCCCCTTCTTCTATGGTCATTATTATGTGGCTCTCAGCTTCTTGAATCTTCATATTAAGATTTTGTTTCTAGAATTCAAAGAGTTTGGACTTTCCAAAATATTTATGGATGAACTCTGATTCCACTGAAGTCAACGGGAGCAGAGGTAAACCAATACAATGCTTTGAAACACTCACCCTATGTTTATTCCGAAGAAAAAGCCATACTAATAAACAGCTTATCAAACAAATACGACAAGCTTGCTGACACGAGGTAGCCCTATGCAAGCAATTGCTGTCCATTAGATGCATTATGTGATCAATTTTAACATTTATTTTAGAAAATGGTTATTATGAAAATCCCAAACCCACTAGGTTGTCCACTGGTATGCCCATCCTCCCTGAATGTAGGACCAGATTCAGGAAGTACCCACTTTTTCCAGCACCATTTACGTGTATAAACAGATGGCTCCAGTTACATATATGGCATTACTCGTTATAATCTCAGTTTACAAACATTTGGACCAATTGCCTCTTTTCTGCAAGAGTAGATGGTGGCTTCTTGTTCCCTTTAGAGTGTTCATTTAAGGCAGAGCCCTACAACTGACTGAACTTGTTGGAGAAAAGATTGGTTTTCATCCTTCAAGCCTGCAGAGTTCTGCGGGTTGGATCCAATTCCCAGTAAAGTCTGTGGAAGGGCTCCTGTTCATGGGGAACTGGACCGGGCCTTTGGAGAGTTTCAAAAATAAAAAGCAATGTGAAGAATAATAGGATATAAAAATAAAATGTATTGCCTTCCAAATTGTCCTATTCTTTTTTTTTTTTTTTAAATCTCTTGGTAGTAGTTGTGTCTTCTACATGTTTTAGCACCAGAAAAACATATAAACCATTTTTATTGCACAGAGCAGGAATTTATCTGTGTGTTTCAGCTTAAATCTGCAAGAATCCTCTTATATTTTAGAACTGAAGTGAGAAAACAACATTAAATTCAGTTTTATCCTGTGCACAGCAATTATTCTAACTGTCAGCACATGACATTTTTACTTCCACAGTTAAAGAGTGAATAGTCAGATGACGTTCCACAAGAAATAGTGTAAGTTCATATAAATTAAATCACGTCTCCTATAATATCTATTGCCTGTCATTTGAGAATGCAAATACTTTAAGACCATTTAATGCTATTGGTCACAAGCAACAGCAAACTACTAAGCAGAACTAAGAAGGACACAAATAACATTATTAAAACAATAAAATCCATTATCTCCTTTGCAAATGATTATCCAAATGTAATGACCCTGATAGGTTTTTCTAAACTCTGCAGATGCAGAGTAAAATCCACAACCTATTGGAGTCGATGGGAATTTAGTCCTTGATGCCAGTGGAGCAGAATTTCATCTTTAGTATCTAACTTTTAACTAGCATTTACAGTGAAGTCTTTGGGACAAGGATTGGGCCCTAATTAACTCCTTTTAAATAACAATTCAGATGTGTATTCTGTATGGTTGATTTCGCATACAGAACTAGAGTATAACGCTGTCAAGGGCATTGTACCTGGTGCAAGACACTAACTTTCCTTTGCTGCCACCAGCAATGCTAAATACTAATGAATATTTGTCCAGTTCTAATCTTTTTTTATGATAAATGGAAGCATATTTCAAGAATGCTGTACTTTAGATAACAAATTGTAACATTTGTTTAATCCTGACAGATCTGTGTCTGATTTTCCTTAAAACAAAATGCAAAGATAAGATCTGAAACCAACTCTAAAGTATACTGTAAAACATTTTACTATATACTGAGAGCCAGATGCTGCTTTGTTACACTGGTGTAAATCCTGAGTAACTTTGAGTTCAGTGATGTTACTATATTCAGAATTTACATTATAAAGAGAATTAGTTCTATATTTATTATATATAATTATTATTGTTTAATTAGCACTGCTAGTTGCAAAAATTGTATGTGTATATAAACATGAAAATAATTTAATAAAAGATTTTGTATGAAAAAAATCTAATGTCTAATGTGTGATCCACAAAACCAGGATTAATAGTTAACACTCTTCAATTATAGAATCCATTTTATGTAGAAAGAGATAATATATAAACAAAGTGCTTTATCTGGGGTTTGACTAGGAGCTCTGAGATTGTAGTGTGCTTTAAGATAACATTCCAAACCTATCCTTTTAAGTTTCCAGCCAAGAATTTGTTTTTATAATTTCTTTACTGTTGGCAAAAAAAAAAAAAAAAAAAAAAAAAGAAACTTTACTCCAGTCGGTGAACCTCTCACTCACAGTTGCTACCTCTCCCACTTTTTTAACTGAAAATGATACAAACATTTTGAAAGTCAAAACCTGCAAGGAATTGGCTCTAACTATTCTTTGTCACCGTTGCTTTCTTTGAGTCTCCTTTATTGTACTGAGCATGAGATGTTAGAAGATGGTCTATTAAAATAGGAATAACAACACTAGTTAACCTAAAAATATATCTTGATCCTGCAAGTTCTCTCACACATCCCAGAGAAAGCTGGCCTTTATTTATAAACTGTTCTAAACAACTGTGACAACCGTACTTCAATGGGACTACTCACATTATTAATGCGTCCTCCTGTAAAAGTTTACAGGCAACACAGCACTAACCAACACCTGGAAGTTCATTTCGATACCAGTAGGGTATGAATGTAAACACATTTGCTATTCTGTGTATGGAATGTCCCCTTGAGTAGCTGCTAGGAGGTTGGGAGGGGTGGGGAATCCAGGCCCATCCACTCCTCTGGGTTCTGGCCCAGGGACTCTGTAAATAGGAGTTAGCTGCTAAGTGTGAATCCTTACTGTTCCACTGCTGCTCACTCCCTGGTCCATTTCCCTGAGGACCTGCTCCATCCTTGCCTTCTTTCAGGGCTTTATCTCAAAATGCCCACAGCACCCTATCCAGGGTTCTGCAATTCTCCCTATCCACCATGTCTGGTCTTCAGCTACCAGCCCTGAGTTTCAGCTGGGTCTGCAATCAACCCTATACACTGGCCTGTCCAAGGTACTGCTATTTTCCCAGTCAGTCACTGCATTTGTCTGACTTAAGCTCCCAAAAGGAACTGACAGGCCTTCTTCCAGCAGCTTTTTTATACTGGTTTGCTGGGCCCTGATTGGCTGCAGCAGAAGCAGCCACTCTAGCTTGCCTGGAGGACTTCTCCTCTGCTCTCTTTCCTGGAGTGGGATGTGGCAAGGCCACACTCCAGGGCTTTGAAGCACACCAGGGCTTTGAAGCACACCAATAGTAGTGATGTAGGACACTGGCTTGATGCTAGACTTGGGTCCGTTCCAGGCTTTAGGAGGCAAATGACTTTTGCAGTACAACCTATCTTTGGTAGCCTGCCTTCACTGATGACCCTGGTGAAGAATTGCATAAGCTAAAGCCAAGCATAGAGGCTGTGACAGGGCACCAAGACCCTGCACTAAGCCCCAGGGGGTGTGCGCCTTAGTAGAGGGGCCAAGGAACACCTACTGGCCTTGCGCCGGCTGCTCCCAAGCCGCGGATCAGCTGGGTAGCGCCGCGGATCAGCTGAGTAGAGCCGCGGATCAGCTGGGGGAGCGCCCTGCAGGCGCTGAGAGGGAGAGGGGCGACTCAGCTGGCCGGACGGCGCAGAGGGCAGGACGTATGTCAGCATCCCGGCGTGGCGGGAGCTTCAAAACCCGCTGGGCAGCAGAGGGACGGGGGGAGGCAGGTTAGGAGGGCGGACCTGCCAAGGGAGGTGGTACGCGCCCGGGACTGTCTCCCCGGTGAGACCGGACGCTGCTGGGAGGGGGCATAGAAAGGAGAAAGGAAGTAGCCCAGGGCAGAGCGGTGATTTAGCCCGTGGGCTGGCGCGTTTAGGGGCGCAACCCCATCAACCGGACCAAGACTGTCAAGCAGTCCAAGTCCTTAGGGCCCTGGGCTGGGGCCCATGAGTGAGGGCGGGCCCGGGCCCCCTTTCTCCTCCTCCCTGTGGGGAGGCTGAGCGACGTGAGTGTATAGCGGAGAGGGGCTAAGTAGCCCGACTTTTAGAGGGCCGGACATCCCAAGACTGGACTGAGGGTGGGTCGGACCAGGGACACCGGACCCACACTCCTCTACCCCCCTTTTTTCTGGATAAAAGGGGGGTGGGGCGGTTACAGAGGCCAAGAGTTTTCAAGAATTCTGAAGATATTGCTCCAGTTGAAGTGAGTAGTAAAAATCCCAGGGTGACAGTCTATGCTGTGATAGGTAGTGGGGAAAATAGAGTGGTTTTAACCCACCTTTATACTACTGGAATCTAGTCTTCTTTGGGATCCAAAGAGGTATCTGGCGTAATTTAGACAGCCCACCCCAAGGCTGTCCTTCCACTCCCAGAATACTTCCTATGCTGTGGCTTGCCCATGATCATCCACAGAACCATCCAGGGTAGTTTTACACAGTTCCCACTGTACCCCTATCAGACACAGGGCTTTCTCATTTAAAACAAGTAGAACAGCATACTGAAGTTTGGGGGACAGAGCTCCCTCCACCAGTGACTTGAATGGGATCAAACTTAAGCCAATGTTGAACATTTATAAAAATCCCATCCTAAAATAACTATAAATTATGACATGCCTATTTATGAATTGTAAAAGAGAAAAAAAAAAAGCTGTCCTTGATTCATTCTCCCTTCTCTTTGCTGAGAGCTGCACTGGGCAGCTTACTTTGGAAAATCTCCCATTGATTTCAGTAAATAACCATAGAAAGGACTAGGCCACATTTTCATAGAGAAGTTTTCTGCTGTTATTTGGCTGGTTTTGAGCAAGCATAATATTCACAAAATTGAAACTATTTTATGAAAGCTCTAAAGATTGCATGGAAATTTAATGTAAAATGTGCAACATGATTCTGAATTGAAAAATATGCAGTAAATTTTCAAAATTGTATTAGTTTTGAATTTTTGAGGAGGTCACTGAGATTGGCTGTGTAATTCACATGGTATTTGTTCCGCTTTAGGGCCCTGATTGATGGGTTCTACTTTCTGAGCTGTTGACAGTGAGCAGGAACGGTTTTAATTAATTTCCCAGAAGGAATCAGTGTATTTTGTGTGCTATCTTTGGACCAGCCAGAAAAATAAAATAATCTATCTGCACAGCAGGTACAATCCTTTGTTAATCACCCCCAAAAGACCATCTAGGAATTGAGTTTGGGACTAGTAGCCTTGAAGACAATTAAAGAGAGAACAGTTCATGATCCAAAATTGCCCTAGAAGGGTACCCACAATTTCTTCCCCACAAGAAAACACCACCAGGTATAAAGGCTATGGGGCAGAGCCTGCTACAAGGGCTATTAAGTGGAATATATTGTTTGAGGACAGAAAGCTGCACAGCTTAATGGAGTCCTCTGCAGGTCCAGTTAATTCACGTAAGCATTCAAATTCTGAACCTTTGGAGATTCTTCTATTGCTAATTTCATAGTTATGAAGAAGCTGGTGCTAAACATGAGCTTATGCATAGTTTGGCTATGTAAGAGGTGGGGCATGCATGTTTTATATTTTATTAATTTTCTGTCCTATGGCCAGATTATGATCTCTAATCCCACCTCATTGAATTTAGTGGCATTACTCTGCTTAAAGTAGTACAACTAAGATCAGAATTTTGCCAACACTGTACAGATAACAGGAACTGGGTTATCAGATTATTATTTTTATTATCTATACATTTCTGGGTGTGCATGGTGCTTGATAGATAAATAATGACAGATCCCTAGGGGACCTTACAATCTACATTAGAATTTGCACAGCAAAGGAAGTGACACTAACAAAGGGATTTGGTAAGGCAGTGGTTTTCAAAGTACGGGTCACAACCCAGTCCTGGGTTGTGGAAATTCAGGCACTGGGTCACTTTGCTGTAGCGTGACAAGCTGACCAGCGGGGGTGCTAAAGCCAGCTTCCTGCCTGTTCTGACACTGTTCCCTGGAAGCAGGCCTGGCTCTTAGGTGGAGGCGAGTAGCCAATTCTCACAAGACACAAAAGCAAAAGAAACCAAAAAAGGAAGCCAGTCCTATTTCAAAACAGGCCCAGAATGAGTTCCGTCCATTTTTGCTTGGTGATGCCCGGTGACAAACCCCTCAAACAAGGTCAATTCCCTTTTTGGTTGGCATTGCCCACTCCAGATAAATACGCCCCAAACAAGACATTCTTCGAAAGGGATGTTTTTTTAAAAAAAATCCAGACACAGAGCAGTAAGCAGACAAAAAACCCCACCCAACCCAATGCCCCTAAACCCACCAAACCAACAAACTCCCATCAGAGCACCCACCAGGCCAACACTACATGGTAGACAGGCAAACACCATCTACTTCCCAGTCTCCCATGCACCCTCCAAACCAGCAAGCAACCTCCAACCACACACTCCCTTCCACGCCTATCGCCCTCCTTATTTGTAGCTCCTCATGGTGGTAGGCAGGAATGACTCATAGCATCCAGGAGAACTCCCAGGTGTCCGAGTTTGAATCTCTGCTCTGTGTGAGTCTGACTGTGACTGAGACATGGGAAAAAGCAGCATGGAATCTGACTCCCAACCCTGCGTTTGGTTCCCTGAAGCCTTTCTCTCATTATCCTATAGTTTCCTGTCAATCAGGCTGACCTGGAGCCTTAGCCTCTCCCCACTGGCCCTGGGGACTAGGCAATCACACTCTCTGGTGGGGAAATTCAAACAAAGCAGCCTCCACTCATGAAGCCCAAAAAAGCAACAACTCCAACAAGCCAAGAAAGTGGCCAATGGGAGTGTGGAGCCAGAGTCTGAGGTGGAGCTGGATCTGATGCTAGCCACTTCCAGGGTACAGTACAGTCTGCTGTGCCAGGACACGCAGGAAACCTGCCT